AGGAAGGAAGGAAGGAAGGAAGGAAGGAAGGAAGGAAGGAAGGAAGGAAGGAAGGAAGAAAGAAAAAGAAAAAGGAAGTTATAAAAGAAAAAATGACTGTTTTATAATCAGCTTGGGGCTGCCAGGCACTGTGGGAAAGCGGCTTGAAATGACCATTCAGCCCCTCAATTTCCTTCTCGGTCAACAAACCTAGGCCTCGGAACCAGGCTGGTATTAGGAGACCACTCCTCCCCGACCACTGACAGCAATGTACCTGAACAGTCCCTGTGGTGGTGTGAATGAGAACGGCCCCCATAGGCTCACAGATTCGAATGCTTGGTCACCGGGGAGTGGCACTATTTGAAAGGATTAGGAGGTGCGGCCTTGTCAGGGGAAGTGTGTCCCTGGGGGTGGGCTTTGAGATTTCAAAAGCCCATGCCAAGCCCTGAGTCTCTCTCTCAGCTAGCAGATCAGGATGCAGTCAGTTCTCAGTCAGTTCTCAGCGACCACGTCTGCCTGCCTGCTGCCATGCTCCCTGTCAGGATGCTAATGGACCGACCCTCTCACACTGTGAGCCCGCCCTCAGTTAAATGCTTCCTTTTATAAGAGCTGCCTTGGTCACAGTGTCCCTTCACAGCAGTACTGACCAAGACAGCCACCCTCCTCCTGAGCATGAGAAGCACTGTTAGTTTTGTTTTGTCATTTGAGACAGAGTCTCCTGTAGGCCAGGTTAGCTCAAACTCACTCTATAGCTGAAGATGACCTTGAACATCTGACCCTCATTCCTCCTTCTCCCAAGTGTTAGGATCACAGGTGTAGGCCACTGCACCTAGCAGAGCTGGATTTTTTTTAAAGATTTATTTATTTATTATGTATACAGAAGAGGGCGCCATATTCATTGCAGATGGTTGTGAGCCACCATGTGGGTGCTGGGAATTGAACTCAGGACCTCTGGAAGAGCATTCAATGCTCTTAACCTCTGAGCCATCTCTCCAGCCCAAGGATTTTTTTTTTTTTAAAGTTACTTCAAAGGACTAGAATATGGCAGAGGTAATGAGCTGTTAATTCTAAAACAGCCTGAAAACAATTCTCAGCCCTGCCTCCCGTCCTCAAGTCTCTGCCAAAAATGACTTACCTCTGAGAGCCTGTGGGAACTGCTGGGGTGGCCTCAGCAGGTCGGAGCCAAACAGGAAGCACAGTCCACTCGCATACGTGTTCTCCTTGCAGTTTTGGTGCACCGTGGGGCCGCAGGCCTGAGGGGCAGAGCGCCGTCGAGCGCCAGTCAAGGGGCTGCCCCTGCCCCCTGGCCCGCCATCGCAGAACCTCCACCCTCCACAAGCCCTCCACCCCAACCTCCCCAGGCCTCCCACCTCTCCCCTCAGAGCCCTCTTCTGATCCAGGCTAACTCACCAGCAGCTGGGAGGGGTCTGGAGTGGCAGCCAGGGACAGACCCAAGGACATGTTCACAGCCTCTGGGGGCACTAAGAAGACAGACACACAACACAAGTGTTGAGAAATGTTGTGGGGTGTGTGTGCGCTGTGTGAAGATGTGTCGCTGTGATTGGTGAAATAAAGAGCTGAATGGCCGGTAGCTAGGCAGGAGGCAGAGGTGGGACTTCTGGGCAGAGAGCTCTGGGAAGAAGAAAGGCGAAGTCTCCAGAGAGACAGGAAGAGGAAATAGGAGGTACAAGATGGAAGAGAGGCAGCGCCACGTGGCAGAACAGAGATTGATATAAACATGTTAAGTTAAAGGAGCTAGTTGAGACAAGCCTAAGCTAAAGGCCAAGCTTTCATAATTAATAACAAGTTTCTGTGTCATTATTTGTGAGCTGGTGGCCAACCAAAAAGCTTGCCACAATGAAACAGTGACATGAGAGATACACATACCCATGTTCACTGTCTTGCTCACAATAGCCAAGCATAGAAGCCAGTCGATAGATGACTGAAGAGAGAAAAATGCAGTCTACACGACAGAGTCACATCCAGCCACAAAGAATAATGAAATGATGTCATTTGCATACAAGTGGATAGAATTAAGAAAAATAAGATTTAAAGTGTGGGGGAGCATTTGGAGTAGAGGCAGCAGGAAGAGGCAGGAGATTAAAGAAGGTAAAGAGGGTGAAACGATCAGAATATACTATACGCATGCGTAAAAATGTCAGCCAGGCGTGGAAAGGAGCACCTTTAACCCCAGTGGCTGGGGGGCAGAGACAGAAGGATCTCTGTATATTTGAGGCCAATCTGGTCTACACAGCAAGACCTGGTCTCAAAAATAAAAAATAAAGGATGAAAAAGACACTGTGATAATGAAGCCCAATTTCAGGAATGGGGGTGTGGCCCCGCTGGTAGAGCGTGGCCCAGCATGCACAAAAGCTTGAGGCCACGTGTGGTGGTGCCAATACTTGGGAGTGAAGCAGGAGGATCAGGAGTTTAAGGCTGTCGATCGCTACATAGCAAGTTCGAGGCCAGCTTGGGCAGCAGAGACCTTGCAGAGAGGTGGGGGAGGGGAAGAGAGAGGTAAAGGGAGAGAGGGACAGGGAAAGGGAGCTAATTCTCTCACATGATATAACATATACTACTTATGTCTATCTGGGAACAGGAGCATTGGCTCAGTCAGTAAAGTCACCATCATGAAAGCTTGAGGGCCTGAGTTTGGGTCCCCAGAATCCACGTAATAAAGTGGGTGAGGTCACACTTACCCAGAACCCCAGTGCTAGAGGGGCAGAGGCAGAAGCAGCCTTGAAATTCATTGATCAGATGGCCCAGCAGTCAAGGGTGCTGTTTGCTCTTCTAGGACTTAGGTTTGGTTCCCAGAACCTACATAGCAGCTCACAACTGTCTGTAACTCTGGTTCCAGGGATCTGACACTCTCTTGTGACCTCCCTGGGCACCAGACATGCATATGGTACTTATACATACATGGAGATGCATATGGTATATATACATACATGGAGGCGAATATTCATACGTGTAACATAAAAAATAAGAGAGAGAGAGAGAGAGAGAGAGAGAGAGAGAGAGAGAGAGAGAGAGAAATTCATTGCACAGACAACGTAGGCAAACCGATGAGCTCTTGACTCAAAATAAACAAGGTAGCATGCAATCAAGAACGACACCTGATGTTGACGGTGGCCTCCACAGGTGGCGCACAGAGCACATGCACCTGCAGGCACGCATACAAAATATTTAAATATGAATTGTTTTAGCAAAAGAGCTGCCAAGAGTCACTTCAGCCTGGGAGACACAGGGGAGACCATGAAAAGGGAGCAAAGCAGGGTTGTCTGAGGGTCCGTAGACAAGGGAGAGGCTAGGAAAACAGGTGCTCTCTGCCCAGCAGGGACGAGCAGGTGACAGGAATGCTGGGAAAGCAGGTGTGCCCACGGGTAGACTCCCATCAGGAGCCAGAGGGAGAGCCGAGACTCACCTTTCAGGGAAATGGGCTCGCACCTCCTGGTGCTGTAGTCACACTGGTAGAGGGCACCCGTTTGGTTAACATCCTTTACCTCTTGGGGGGCTGCAACAACCACTCTGTAGAAAGGGGGGGTAATAAAGAGCCCTCTGAATGTATAGAAACAGTCCTACCTTCCAGAGGGAAGTGAGCCTCCTGAATTCCCATACACAGAAGGGGAAATTAGCAATGCAAAGAAAATGTAAGTCCTAGAACGGGAAGGATCTTTCTAAGAATGACACAAAACTCTGAATTTTTAAAAATGGGTTTAAAGAACGATCGCGTGGTTAGGATGGAAAGGGTGGGGTGATAGAGAATGAGCCAGGAGTGGAGACGGAGGTTTGCTCAAAATACATTATAAACACATAAGAAATTCTCAAACAATAAAAAATGGATAGTTCAACCACATAACCATTTTAAATAAATGTACAACTATGATAAACGATTACAAGCAAAGTCAAAAGATAAATTGGGACATACTGGGAAGGGGAGACTTGAACTTACACCCCAGGTCACCTCCCTCTGGTCTGTCAGTTCCTACAAACCAGGGAGGGGAAGAGTAGAAAATGGGGAAAGAGAAGAAGAAAAGCACCAACAGACGAGGGGACCGCTGTGGAACAAGGGCTCGGGCCCAGAAGGGCCACTGCCACCTTGAACTCCCAGGAGCTGTAATTACCCGGAAGAGACAGGAATGAGATCGATCCACCAACGTTCCATCTGGAGGGGAGGGGA